ATTAACGATTGTGTCGCGAATGTGTTGAATGATTAGCACATACGTATTTGATTTAAATCGTGTTGAGTTATTGTTATATCGAGAAAGTAGTGGTCGAAGTGTTGCCAGACGCGACTTGGGGATCATAGAGTGTGATGCGAAATTTGTGTTAAGAGTGGTAGTATCGAGTAGATTTTTGAGGAAGAAAATATTCTAAGTGGGAGAGAGTTGTAACGGCCGTTAATTTAATTAATTATTTAATTAAATTATTTTTAGATTATTGGTTGAAGTTGTGAGATGTTGAGAATTGTTGGTATAAGTTGTTAGATTATTATTAATTAATTAATTAGTTGATTAATAATAATAATAATAATAATGTTGGAATTAATAGAATAATATAAGATTAAGTTGTCGGGATTATTTATATGGTGGTATGTAGTATTAAGGAGGTGTGAGAATTAGGCCCAATAGTAATACTATTATTATTAAGTTTGGTTATAATAAAAGAAATTAGAAGTGACAGTAAGGAAAATAAGTTTTGTCAAGTAGAAGAGGAATAAGGGTTGGAAGAAAGAAAAGAACGTAGAAGTTACAGAGAAGAGGAAAAGAGACAAAGTGGGATTTGATCGGAAAATTGTAGAGCAACCTTCAATCTAAGGTAAGGGTGGGGTTCTGACTCTATAATATGGTATGTGATGAGTAGTATGTGGGATTAGGTTTGTAGAATTGTTTTGTTTGTGTTGGAAATTTTATATATTGTTGTTTGATGAGGAATCAATGAATTAGGGATGAATAATGATGTCCAAATGATGTATAATTGATGTAGAAACATAGGATAATAATATATCACGATTACCTATGATTTGGTGATGTTATAAGACCCTTAATATAGTGAAATCGCAGAAAATCGCAGTAAAATGCAGAAAAAACCATGTTTTTGGAGATTCAACGCGGGAAACTAACTCTATGCTAACTTTGGTACTATAATTATCCTTCTTATCACTCATTTTACTCCTTATAAATGTAGTTCATCATGTTATCTTTCCAAATCTTCGAACGGCACAAAATGAGTAAAATGAGGGATAAGAAGGATAATTCTAGTACCAAAGTTAGGATAGAGTTAGTTTCCCGCGTTGAATTGCCATGATGTTTTGTGGTGATGAAGTATGATGATGACATGACGATCTTATGATAATGCTTGGTTCATAATAATAATATCAATGATAATGATGATGTAGTATTATAGTATAACAATTTGTAGAAGTTTTATAATTAGAAATAAGCATTTAGATAAGTAAATAACCGGTATAGTCGAGAATTGTTCGAATAATTATGGGCAATATTATGTTGTAGGCTTATGGCCAATGTCGAATGGTTGTTGACCTGTTGTTGTGTTATTATTGTTGTGACGTACTAAGTTGTAGGCTTATGCCAAAGTTGCGCTAATTGTTGTTGTTGAAATATCAAGTTGTAGGCTTATGGCCAGTGTTGAATTATTATTAAGTTGTAGGCTTATGCCAATGTTGAATTATGTTGAGTTGTTGTATTATTATGATTGTCACTGTGAATTCTTGTTGGTAATGTGAAGTTGCAGGGAATTTTAAATGATGATGAATTACCTCTATTTACTGGTAATAATGGCGATGTGGGCTTATGCCTTGCGATGGATGATGATTGTTGTGAGTATGTGTTAGTGCATTCATTGAGTCATATACATTTGTATACTTTGTGATGGCCTGGATTGGAAAACTACGAAGAAGGCTTATGCCTTGTTGATGCCTCTATTTATCGGCATATTTTTAAGACGGGAGTTCTGCTCCAATGGTATAACATGCATGTGCATTGTAATTGAGTCGCAGTTGATGTTGCATCTTGAGTTGTGGTGATGATATATGTGTGGTTGCTTTATGTTGTTGACTTGTTGTGACAAGTATTATCTATAAGCGGTGAATTAGTAGTTATGCCGTGTTGATGTTTTGTTGTGATTAAAGTTGTCTGTAAGTTGTGAAGTGGTGATTTTATATGATCTGATTTAATATATTATTTATCATACGACTTATTATATTGTCCGATATCTCACCCCTTCTGTTTGAATGTTACCCTCTGTTGGTAACATGCAGGTAATCAAGAAGGACAGTTGTTACCTTTGTTAGTTCGAGTCGGTGTTGTCGCTTTGATATGTTGCATTCGGGGAGATGAACGCTTGATGTTTTGTTGTTGATTATCATTTTAGTTGCTGAATTTTTAGGTTGATTACATGAAATAATTGTTGTCTTGAAGTTGTTTTAGTTGAATAAGAGATGTTAAGTGAATTAAAGATGAGTATGTATATTCCACTGCTTATCAATATAAAGTTGTTTGATTTTGAAGGATAAATCAGGTTGTTATTGGTTCATTCGAGTTAAGTGTTATGTATCTGTTTTATATGCAATTAAATGAAGTTTGATTTTAAGTTGTAAATGTAGCATCCTATTTATGTTAAACTCTAATTTTATTATTATCCGTCGGGTAGAATTGAGGTGTTACAGGATACCATTTGTGTGGAATACTTCATGCCAAACTTTCTCTCGACTGGTATTGAGAGGCGTGTAGATCTCTATTGGCTTCTCATTGTGTTTGATGAACTCCAGGTTGTTGATAAATGTCGTGTATGGTTTCTGCTCTATTGTTGGGAGGAATGATATCCCCTGATGCTGCATATTTTTGTGCCTCTGGTCTTCTTCTCCATGTAGCTTTCTTCTCCCTTTATGTAGCACTTATCATACACCATAATTTTTGTCATGGACTTAACAGGCTTCTGGGAGAAGAACTCATTAAATTTCCCGACTTTCAATCAATTCTAGAATGGGAAGAACAAACCATGATATCAAAGAGGATAAACTCAAAAAAAAAAGAATGAAGACATGCATTAGTAAAAACGTGAGCTTTGAAAATGAAAGAACGACCCCTTAGTTGTGTTAGGGGTAATTTCGATGGAGCATTTTTAATTGAGACACACCTTTTGTGAGAGACACACCACATATCCACCTAAAACCTTAAGGTGATATATGTGTGGGTTCTCTCACTTATTAGGTAGTATATATTTCTTTTTCTAATCAATGTGAGACTTCTTCCTCACACTTGATTCTCTGTTGACAAAGTGTGAAGAAGAAGTCTCACATTAATTAGAAAAGGGAAGATATAACACTTTATAAGTGAGAGACACACCACATATCCACCTAAAACCTTAAGGTGATAGATGTGTGAGTTCTCTCACTTATAAAGTATTATATCTTCCCTTTTCTAATCAATGTGGGACTTCTTCTTTAGACTTGATTCTCAATACTCCCCCTCCAGTGTGAGTCTATAATGCTCCGCCTCATGTGAAAGCTCTCCTCCACATACACTTGTACCATCGTTGACACTCTTCAACAGAACACCTTCTACCCACCATCTGCGAGAAGTGTTTCGATACAAGTAAATCGATCCCTTCACTCGAAACCAGACTCAGATACTATTGTTAGGGGAAATTCCGAGGGAGCATTTTTACTTGAGACACACATTTTGTGAGAGACACACCACATATCCACCTAAAATTTTAAGGTGATAGATGTGTGAGTTCTCTCACTTATAAAGTGTTATATCTGCCCTTTTCTAATCAATGTGAGACTTCTTCCTCACACTCGATTCTCAACAAGTTGAGCATAACAAAACTCAAACAAGAAACAACATACATTAGTAAAAGGTGAGATTTGTAAAAATTTCAACTTTAAAATAATGAGAGATTATCTGAAAGCGTGTTGGAGAGGTGAAAAGCAAATATTAGGTCAAATGAGAAGAAAAATAAGAACCAAGATAAAGGTGAAAAGTGAAGAGTGAAGAGTAAAGATTGGTTTAGATATATCTAATCAGAGCGATATGTATAAATGTTGGAGAATAGACTGAGGTGAGAAATTTGAAAAGTTGGCTCGAAAATGTGATGCGGTCAAGCAAAATAATCTACCGTGTGATTAAAGTGTAGTACAATTTTAACCATTTGATCAAGATCAAACGGTCTTGATTGAATATCAATCTCAAAGCGTGATTTAAGTGGTTGTAGCGAATAAAAAAAAAGAGAGAGAATAGTTAAATTAATTGATGTGACATCATGTGGATTCAAGAGGGTAATTTAGGAATTTCATTTACCTTTAAGTTTTCTAAATATATATGATTATATTTGCCATTAAAAAAATATTGAAACCTTAATATCCCACCCACCATTACCCAACTTACACCTTACAATTAAACACAAATACTTTCATATACTAAGTTTAATTTTTGGAAGCAGAGACACAAATTCAACTGATCTAATAAAATGATGCACAAATTAAATTAGATAGTTTAGCATCAAATCAAGCTCGCCATAACAAAATAAAGAGAGCCAATGCACCTTGTCCGCTTATGATCCAGTTTCAATTTTCAAGCACACAAAGCGAGAGACTATATGCCAAGAAAAATATTGTGATTCAATGAGATAATTTTTCTTCAATAGAACTAATCATAAAAAATAAAACAAACATAAAAGAAGTAGAGTTCTAGCTTATAAATATAAAAGACCCAACCAACCACTTAAGTTTAATAGACTATTATGTTGAGTTTCAATGACTTTAATTTAAAATGTTAAAGTCACTGTGACTTTGTTTGTCTCTTACTAAATAGAGCAAAAAACATTGCCAAACAACTCAATTCAAACTATAATTGTGAAGTTCGATATTGGAACACTTATTGATGTCTAACCAAACAATATGGATTTTGTATATTAGAGACAAAGATTGCTTGATAGGAGTGCCTTTCTAAGATGTGAGAAACCTTCTCCATGATAGCAAGGAAAGATATTATTCCAACATCTTAAACTAAAAAGTAACATTTTCCCTGTTTACTTTTGTTTCAATCATGAGATATATTCCAGCAAGAACTCCCTCAAATACAAAGCAAAGCATATCTCAAAGATACTTGTTCATACACACAGGTTTCTTCAATTCACCACCATCCACATCACTCCCATGGAGAATACATCTCTTATATCTTTGGCTTCAATACCCAATGCAATTTTATTGCTTCTTTCTTTAACTATTTTCCAAGGTGAGAGCTTATTATCTACCTTCTTAAATTTTCATCATTTTGCATTAGTCTCTCATTTTGCAATCTTTTACAGAAGTGCAAGGAATTGGTGTTAACTATGGCACAATAGCAAACAATCTTCCACCACCATCTCAAGTTGCAAAATTTCTCTCACACTCCACCATAATTAACAAGGTGAGAATCTTTGATGCTAACCATGAAATCTTACATGCTTTTGCCGATACCGGAATCGAGATAACCATAACAATACCTAATGACCAAATTCCAAACATAACCAATTTAACCTTGGCTCAACAATGGATCAAAACCAATGTCCAACCTTTTATCCCCTCAACCAACATCATAAGAATCCTAGTAGGAAATGAAGTCTTATCAACAGGTAACAAACTTCTTATTACTAGCCTTGTCCCTGCCATGCAAACCCTACACATTGCCCTTGTAACAGCTTCATTAGACAATCTTATAAAAGTGTCCACACCACATTCTTTAGGTATTTTAACTAACTCAAGTCCACCATCAAGTGCTAGGTTTAGACAAGGCTATGATATACATATAATAAAACCAATGCTTAGGTTTCTTAAAGATTCAAATTCACCTTTCATTGTTAATCCTTACCCCTTTTTTGCTTGTACTTCAAGCAACCTAGATTTTGTGGTTTTTCGTGCCAATTCAGGAGTTTATGATGATTATACTAAACTAAAATACACCAATATGTTTGATGCGCAACTTGATGCTGTTTATTCAGCAATGGAAGTTTTGGGCTTTGAGGATGTTGAAATTGTTATTGGCGAAACAGGTTGGCCTTCGATGGGCGATTCGGACCAAATTGGTGTTGACAAGAAGAGTGCTTCTGATTACAATGGGAATCTTATAAGGCATGTTACTTCTGGGGAAGGAACGCCTCTCATGCCGAACCGGACTTTTGATACCTATGTTTTTGGATTGTTTAATGAAAATCTAAAGCCCGGTCCAATATGCGAAAGGAATTTCGGGCTGTTTTGGCCTAATATGAGTCTTGTCTATGATGTTCCAATAATGAGAAACAATGTAGATGTTGCTAACAATCATTCTAAAGCTTTGTTGTCAATAATGATAGCTTTGAACTTCTTGATAGGTTTTTGAGCTTAAATCTTCTTGCCCTGTTGTTCTTTTCTAGCAAACCTGTAAAAAGCACTGTAGTCATGTTCAAGCTTGTTTGGATCCACATTTTCCAATCAATTTTCGCATCCCGGTGCACGTTCACTGTGAAACTCACGAAGCTACTATACAAAACTTCAGTGTTTCTGTGATATTTCACCATGATTCTATCAAATTAGACGCAGATCGAAACGAGTATTTCATCGGCCAAGAAGTTGAGGCAAACAACAAAATTTATGAGCTATTGTTGAATGAGCTAGAATATTGGGCCAATTGATTAAAATGGGAGGGTCATGCTCATGGACTTAAAGCCATTAGATCCCATGCAAATTCCACTAAAGGGATGCATATGACCCTTCTGATTAAAGGTTTATATATACGCATTATACAATCTGTACCGGTGTTTAATACAGACACATGTAATTGTATATAACAATTTTTTGTATCAAATTATATACTACTAACATCAACATTAATGTGCAAGTATTATGTTTGTGTCGATGATTCACCGCTAATGTATGAATCCATGACGAGATAAACGCGTATGCTTGTGCATTTGGTAAAACTAGAGTTATCAACAATACAAAATTATGATGCAATAGATCAATTCAAAACACTAGAGAAAAAAACGTGTAAAGAAAGTGTCCTTACTTGATAGAGAACTTTGATTAAGCAATTTGGCCACAAAACAACCTCCCACTTTGTAACACTGCTTATTCAAATGAGCATCTCAGCCAGAAGCATCACACATTGTTCTGCAATTGCGATTGGAATACTCATTTGAGCAAGAAACATTACAAAGGGAAATAATAAACTTGAACAAAAAAATTGCTATGTGAAGATCTTTGGGTACCCTTTGGTTATAAGGTTGGTCTTATTGAGAGAAATACCTCAACAATATAGTGTTATTAAAAGTTGTTGAGAAGACACTGTTTGTTGACATTTGACAGTCAGCTTCAAAATGTTTAAATTAGAAAGGACTTTTAGTTGCAATAGACTCATAGGAATGGCAGCTAAAAAAGAATAAGGTTCATATGTCAACAACTCAAACATCAAAAATAGTTTAAAGTTTAAATATTTGAAACATATACAATAAAATTTCTAATTTCAGTTTTGAAAACTAAAAATTATTCATTTTCAACATCTCAAGTTCGAATTTGGTTAGGTGAAAACGACTCTATATTGCGAAATGTTCATGCTGAATTTTACTTTAATTTTAAACAGGATTATGTAAATAAACGGTCGAATTGTCTTTTAAATTATTCAGTCATTAGTTTGTATACTAAGATTTGAAAAAAAAATTATTCATTCTGAATGGTTAGAATTAATTTTTAATAAAGTGCTTTTTATTGATTAATTTTAATTATTTTAAAATAAATAAAAAGGCATAATGTAAAAAATACACCATTAAATAAAAAAAGAGATTGAAATTATTATTTTCTTTTTAAACTGTGTTAATTCCAATTTTCATTAAAATCTAGTTTGGGGGTTAAAATTGCTTTCGGTGTATATGTAACTCAAATATCTATCAAAGTCCATTTTATGGTTCAAAAATCATTTAAACTTGTATAATGTATGCAATGGTTGATCATTTTCTTCCAAAGTCATAAACATGTATATGTTCAACAATCCGATTATTACTATTTGAGGATTTCTTAAGTCTTCTACTTTTCTAATGTATCAAGCAAAAATATAGAAATATTTTTGGAAATTAGAAATGTATTTCTGGTACGCATTAAATTCTGGATTTTGGTGGACGAGACTCTATGTATCAGTTGAAAACTAACCGGAAATACAACTACAAATAGAATTGTAACTGTATTTCTGAAAGCGCCTAAAAAAAGTCGATAAGTGCAACAAAAAATATATACAAAAATAACTACAATTTGCATTTATCAGACGAGTGTCGGCATTCTCGACCAGCATCATATCTAGAGCAAAAAAGTGCCGGAATAGAAAGAACAACTTTCGTTCGATGCATTTTTACACAAATAACTAACAGATGGGCCAAAACAGCAGAGCTCAAACTATATATGTTTATTTTATCAAAATGTCTTAACAAATATAAATACATGATATTAACAATATTACATGTTGTTTCCGAAAATAAAAAATGACCAAATAATATCATTATGTAACACCGAGATTTCACAATTTTTTCTTGTTCGATAGAGTTTTCGATTATTTTATCACTATGATGTTCTCTAAGGAGACAGGGATTAATAACTTGGCCTCTAGACCCTTGTTCAAATAAAAAGGCTCCCAAAAGTTCTTTGCATATGGCGTTATCTTGGTTGGCTCGACCATTGACATGCTTACCATCGATCGGTAGACCGAATAACATTTATTCATCCTCTAGTGGGACGATACATTCACCATATAAAAGATGAAAGGTGTGAGTTTCAGGTCTCCAACATGATAAGCAAACAAAACAACTAAACACATCATAATGTTTAAGGGATAAAAACCATCAACACAATATCGTCTGGTTCAAGCATCATCATCATGACATCAGCGTCGCATCTCACATTTTTCCATGAATGACTTACTCTTTTTTGTTCCCCATTGTAATTTGTCTTTCTATTTTTTTTATTTGTTCACCTTTAAGAATGTCTCATTCCAACCAGCGAATCAAGTATCTCTGAAAATGCTCAAACGTCTGCGTGTTCCAGAGTTTGATATTCATCGATGACTTTGTCGCTGAAAAAATAACATGAGCATCTCTTTTGATCAGTGAAAACCTTGGCAATAGAGTGGAAAACGTTGGCAATGGAGTGTAAGACATTTTATAAGAGTGATGTGAGAAATAGTGTGAAAAATAGTGAAGATAGATAATTGCATTTATAGAAAACCAAATACAACTATCAAGTCATCTAATATGGCGCTTCCTTCTTAAAATTACATGTATGTGTCACACTGTATGACACTATATAATAAGACAAGCCATACAGTATGATGCCTCTTCTCTAATTTATATACATGCACCATACTGAGTGACTTGACCTCTGTGTGACAATTTTTTTATTTGAAAAGTGGTTATTTAGTAATTTTTTTGAAAAAATAGTTATTTAAATTTTTTTTTTAAAAAAAAGGTTATTTAGAAAAAATTCAAAGAAGTGTGGTTGGAGTTCCAAGTGTCGTATCAATTCTGAATTCAGGCCCTATCTCGCGAAGGAACCACCATTGCATGGTTGCGTCAGTCAACTCCTAGCCTGAATTATTAGAAATTACGATTCAATTTGTGGCCACATGATCGACTTGGAATCACGTTTTTGGTGGCTTTTGCAGTTTAGTAGAAAGGAAATAATTGGATGAGATCAATGGTGAAGGAGAGCGAGTACTATGATGTGCTGGGTGTCAGTCCAACTGCATTTGAAGCAGAGATTACATGAAGGTACTAATTAGATCTTATTTCTTCTTGCCTGCTGGATCTGTTCATTCTGTTGTTGCCTTTTATTTTTGCTGCATCCGGATATAGAGGAGAGAAAACAACTTTTTGTTTAGGTTGAACCTCCTATTTACTTTGTCGTTTCATTTTTCTCTCAAGTTTTTTTCATTCTTACGATCCGATATATGTTGTTTCCACTTGCAGACGTCATGACTAATGTTTATGTGATAATGTTCATTCTTAGGATGGTAGATTCTGTTGACAAAATCAATACAAGTTCTTGATAAGGATAAGCACCAGGTAGCTACACACCTTCTTGATAAGGATCTGCAATGAGTCCTAATAAAAGTTAAGTTAGAAAATAGAAGAAATACCTACTTCACTATTATATCTAATGTTACAACTGTGTTATCTTAATGAACATCAAAATACAGACATAGTATATGTTTATCTCAATTTAGAGCTATCTGGTCCCTATGGAGTGGCTTTGAGCCAACTTAGTTATAAATTAGACACCTGGTACACCATCTCCAATTGTATATTTTTTTATTCTACAAAGTGGTGTGCTTAATGAGTAACTATTTATTTAACTAGAGCTCATTGTTGAAATTAATTTCTTGTGTCGAAACAATTTTTTCGACAGAGACAAGGGAGTGTCGAAGTAGGTGTGTTGAAAATGTTACACACAGATTTGATTTGTTTTAGATTTAGATAGATTTGATTTAAATTTAAAATAGATAAATTTGATTAAGTACCAAAATAGGTATTTTTGGCTTTTATAGTTTTGGACTTTGGCTTAGGAGCAAGCTAACCTAAATCTATAAATAACGGAAGTAACCCCTAATTTTGAAATCAAGTCAATTCATTGTAATCACAGAATTTGCATTTGCAAGTGATTAATAAAGTTTTCCACAGTTTGTGGGCAGAGAGAAACTCTGCAGAAAATAATTGTCTTCTTTCTTTTCTTTTCTTTTCTCATAACTCATTGTCATTGTGTGGTGATATCAATCTTGTTCATCAAGATTGATAGAAATTCATCATAGATTTTTGGTGGATTTCCAGCATCTGGTATCAAGAGCTTGGTTAATCGATTCAAGGGAAGTATCGATCAAGAACGATTGAGGAAGAAGAAGAATTCACGATGGCGAGTTATGAGAATGCAAATTATCCAACAACTACCAATTCTAAAAGTAGACAACTATGAGAATTGGTGCAAACAGATGAAAATTTTATTCAAGTGTCAAGGTATTTGGAATCTTATAAAGGATGAATTGGAAGTGCTTGGAGAAAACGCTTCAGAAGAAGAAAATAAGAAACACACAGAATCTGAGAAACTGAGTTATAAAACACTCTTTATAATTCATCAATGTATGAGTCCAAATTTGTTGAAAAAGTGAGTGATTCAGAATCTGCAAAAAAAGCTTGGGAGGTTCTTGAGAAGTCTTTTGGTGGTGCAAAAAAGATGAAAGAAGTGAAGTTACAAACTCACAAGAGAACGTATGAATTGCTTCAGATGGAAGATAGTCAGAGCATATCTGATTTCTTCACTAGGGTTACAAAACTAGTGAATCAAATCAAGGTACGTGGAGAAACATTAACAACAAGAGCTGTTGTTTCGAAGATCTTGAGATCTTTGGCTCCTAAGTTTGACCACGTGGTGGTGGCTATAGAAGAGGGGAAAGACTTGTCGAAATTGACAAAGGAAGAGCTTCAAGGGATGCTTGAATCTTATGAACAAATAATGACTGAAAGAGTTGCAGGAAAGTCAAAGAGTGATGTGACTTTGCAGGCACATTCATAAAAAAAAACCAAAGGCAAAGGAAAGTGGTTCGACAGAGGTAGAGGCGGCTACAACAAATCGAATGGTAGAGGAAACCAGAATGAAGGAAACGTATCGAATCAGAGAAGACCATACCAAGGCAACCAAAGAGGTGGTTTTGCAAATAGAGGAAGAGGTGGTGGTCGAAAACATGACAAGAGTCACATTCAATGTTACAATTGTAAGAAGTATGGTCACTATTCGATTGATTGTCCAGAAAAACGAAAGAATCAAGAAAGTGATGCAAAGTTTGCAAAACATGTAGAAGAAAAGATGATGTTGATGGTCACAACAAGAGATGAACATAGATTCAAGGACCAATGGTACTTGGATTCAGGATGCTCATCACATGTGTCTGGAAGGAAAGACTGGTTTGTCAACATAAAGTCCTCAATGAAAAAGATGGTAAAATTCGCAAATAACAATACCCTAGCAGCTTAAGGTATTGGTGATGTTATGATTATGATGAAAAATGGTAAGAGGTCAGTAATTTCCAATGTGTTGTACATACCAGGTATGAAGAGCAATTTGCTCAGTATAGGGCAATTGGTCGAAAATAATTATAAAGTGTCGATCGAAGATAAGATGATGATATTCGATGACGCAAATGGAAGATTAATCTTGAAGGCTCCTATGTCTCAGAATAGAACCTTCAAGATATAACTAAATATGATGGAGCACAAGTGTCTTTCGACTGTAGCTAGCCGAGATAAATGGATACGGCATTATCGACTAGGCCATCTCAACTTCAGAGACATCAGAGATTTGAAGAGAAGAAATATGGTTTCAGGATTACCAGAAACCGACATTCCAAACGAGGTATGTGAGGAATGTGTACAGGAGAAGTAGCACAAGAATAGCTTCAGCAAGGATGCAGGAAGCAGGTCGAAGGTTATTCTTGAAGTCATATACTTTGATGTATGTGGACTAATCGAGCTGGATTCGATGGGAGGTAACAAATACTTTGTTACATTCATAGGTGATTTCATTAGAAAGTTGTGGACTTACTTGATCAAGAAGAAAAGTGAAGTGATCGAGGTATTTGCCAAGTTTAAGTCTATGGTCGAAAGACAAAGTGGTTGAAAACTCAAAGTTTTGAGAACTGATGGTGGTTGAGAGTATGTGTCGAAAGACTTCGACAAGTTATGTGAAAAGGAAGGGATTATGCATGAGGTGGTGCCACCCTATACTCCACAACATCACATAACTGTAGAAAGGAATAACCGAACCATTATGAATATGGTGAGAAGTATGTTGAAAGACAAGAATTTACCTAAAGAGTTTTGGGGTGAAGATGTGTCGACTGCAACATACATTTTGAACATATGTCCTACGAAGAAGCTAGAAGGAATTACTCCAGAAGAATGTTGGTCTAGTGTGAAGCCTAGATTGAGTCATATGAAGGTATTTTGATCTATTGCACATAGACATGTTCCAGATCAATTGAGAAGAAATCTTGATGACAAGTCGAGTCAAATGATTCTAGTTGGATATCATTCGACAGGAGGTTACAAGTTGTTCGACCCAGTGAACAAGCAGATTGTGGTCAGCAGGGACGTGATCATAGATGAGCTTAAAGAATGATATTGTACTAAAAATGTAAAGAAAGATTCAGTGGGAATCCTACTTGAAGAACCAGAAACTCAAGTCAAAAGAGAAGTTCGACAAGAGGAACCAACAGTTATAGATCAACCAAGTACAAGCAGACCTCAAAGAACAAGACGCATGCCTGCAAGATTGCAAGATCGTGTGATTACATTAGATGATGTGATAGATAATGAAGGTGAGTTGGTACATTATGATTTCTATGCAGATGTCGGACCTGTCAATGCAGCTGAAGCATTGAAGGATTTGAAGTGGGTGAAAGCAATGAACGAAGAAGTGAAGTCTATCGAAGACAACAACACTTGGCCACTTGTCGCATTGCCTCAAGGAAAGAAGGTAATTGATGTCAAATGGGTATACAAAGTGAAAATAAATTCCAAAGGGGAATTAACTCGACACAAAATAAGGCTTGTGACGAAAGGATTTCTACAGAAAGAAGGAATAGACTTCAATGAAGTTTTTGCATTTGTTGCTAGGATCGGAACAATGAGGTTGGTTATTGGTCTAGCAGAAATAAACAAATGACACATATGTCAGATGGACGTGAAGTATGCATTCCTGAATGGACCCTTAGACAAAGAAGTTTATGTTAAACAACTAGTTAGATTTATGAAACATGACGAAGAGAGAAAGGTGTACAGGATGCATAAAGCCCTGTATGGATTGAAACAAGCTCCAAGAGCTTGAAATAAGAAAATTGATAGTTTCCTAAGGGAGAAGGAGTTTGTGAAGTGCACAACTGAACATGGAGTATATGTAAGAAGAAGCAATACTGAATTGCTTATACTATGTCTCTATGTCTATGATTTGTTGATAACAGGTAACTGCAAAAGTGAGATCGAAGACTTCAAAGGTGATCTCAACAAGGAATTCGAAATGTCTGATCTGGATGAGATTTCATATTTCCTTGGTATCGAATTCTACAAGAGCAGTAGAGGTTTGATGATGCATCAAAGAAGATATGTAGGAGAAATTCTCAAGAGATTTGAGATGGAAGAATGCAACTCAACTTAGACACCTGCAGAACCAAGACTGCAACTATCGAAAGATGCAGATGAAGATGATGTCGACCCAGCCCAATATAGAAGACTTATTGGGTCATTGAGATAACTTTGTCATACAAGGTCTGACTTAGCATATGGTGTAGGTATGGTAAGTAGATTCATGTAGAAGTCAAAAGTATCACATCTAGCAGCGGTGAAGAGGATACTAAGGTATCTCAAAGGAACTCTCGGCTATGACATTTTGTTTCCTGTAGCTAATAAAGAAAAAGAATGCAAGTTAGTGAGATACATTGATTCGAGTTGGTGTAGTGATGCTGAAGATCAAAAATCAATAGTAGAATATGTGTCTATGTTAGGTGGTGCACCAGTTGTTTGGAGTTCAAGAAAGGAACCAGTAGTGGCATTATCATCATGTGAAGCAGAATACATAACTGCTTCTCTTTGTGCATGTCAAGCAACTTGGATGGTGAACTTGGTCGAAGAGATAACAGGGAAAGATCATGGAGCAATTACCGTGAAAATCGACAACATGTCAACTATCAATCTGGAGAAGAACTCGATAGCACATGGTCGAAGCAAGCACATCGAAATGAGGTTCCACTATCTTCGTGAGCAGGTAGCAGATGGAAAGATGAATTTGGAACACTGCAGAACTGAGAATCAGATTGCAGACATCATGACGAAGGGAGTGCATGTCGAAGTATTCAGAAGACTAAGAGATATGATGAATGTAGATAGCTTAGACACAATGAATTAGGTGGTGTGTTGAAAGTAATTCCTTGTGTCAAAACAGTTTGCTCAACAAAGACAATGAAGTGTCAAAGTAGGTGTGTCGAAAATGCTACACACAAATTTGATTGGTTTTAGATTTAGATAGATTTGATTTAAATCTAAAATAGATAGATTTGATTTAGTACCACAAAATAGGTATTTTGGGCTTTTATAGTTTTGAGTTTTGGCTTAGGAGCAAGCTAACCTAAATTTATAAATAGAGGGAGTAACCCCTAATTTTGAAATCAAGTCAATTCATTGTAATCACAGAATTTGCAGTTGCAAGTGATTAATAAAGTTTTCCACAATTTTGTGGGCAGAGAGAAACTCTGCAGAAAATAATTATCTTCTTTCTTTTCTTTTTTCATAATTCATTGTCATTGTGTGATGATATCAATCGTGTTCATCAAAATTGATAGAAATTCATCATAAATTTTTGAGAAATTTCCAACACTCTTAAATCAATATTTCAATTCAAGTCCACTTTGGATAAACAAACGAATGTGTTTTTTTTTACATGAATATTGTAATTGAAAACATACTTTATTTGTTCTGATAATATATATATATATATATATATATATATATATATATATATATATATATATATATATATATATATATATATATATATATATATATATATATTCAACGGTTGATAGATTCATCTCCTTTACTTGAGATTCTTATTGAGTTGCTTTTTTTCATCTACATTTAATTTTTCACAATATTGTTAGTTTACAACATAATTTTGTTTCTCCGATAATTCATTTTGGCCTGGCTATAATAGGAGTCGGATGCTGCACTTGGACGGCTTGCTTCATGTTTCTTGGACTCTTTTAGAAAATTTATTAATTTGATGCTAAAAGGATATCTAATTCACTATGCATATATAATAGTTGGTTGGTGTAGATTGAGATATATGTAGGTTGTAGACGTAACACTTTTAGTCATGTGTTGACCTTCCAAAATACCAACAAAACTAAACATTTTCCGCTAATTTCTCTCTGTTCGCATGCAACGTTACTTAATGATAATGGATTTCTTGATTTGAATAGTTGCAGCTAAATCATATAAGTTTTTTTATCAGCTAATTTTGTGACTTGGAATTAAATGAGTTATAAATAAGTAGTGCTCATCTATTTTTGGTACACTTATTTATAATGCTTCAACCATAAATGATAATTATAGGTCTAGTCTCTTTTCAACCATTATTTCATGCCCTCTTAATAAAACTTGAACCATATATAACAGATTTTCCTCTCATTCTTCTCTCCCAAACCTCTCTCTCTTTCTCTCCCTCCATAGCTTCAATATTTCTCCGAACCTAAAAATTAAAGCACCTGTAAAATGTCAAAGGCGGTGGTTTACACGCTACTAGCCACCGCCACAATAATTTTCTTCAAATTTCTTTCGCCCTTGAAACATGAAGAACAAAAAGGTAGCTTTAATAGAAGGTTCGGTTACAAAATATTGGAAAGAGCACCAACTTTCGACCCTATTGTAACAAAGATTGAGAGAGAGGTAGAACAAATAAAACAACAACAAAAAATAGAGTTTCATAATAATAAGGTTGTCATTCCTGGTGTGGATTTGGGAAGTACAACCTCGGTTTATAATGTTGCTGAGACATATCAATTTCTTACGTCAGGTGGTAAATTGAATACCACATTAAGGTTAATGATTTTGTTTCCTTTGTTGGATAGAGAAACAAAAGATGGTTTTATTGTTTTCAATGAGTTGGAAAGTTGGATTGCTCAAAGATCTTTGGAAAGATTGGATTATTCTACACAAACTGAATTGGAATCTAAGGATGAAGATGGTGATTTGTCTCTTTCTTTTCGCGAATATCTACCTCATTTAACTGAAAACGATATAGGTAACTTTTTCTCTTTTATAATTATTATAGCTCAGATACATTGATTATTCAATATATAAAAATAATTTTTTTCTTATAATAGAGAAAAATGAAATGACACATGGTGAAGCCGGGTGGTGGAGGGAGAGATTTGACATTGCAGATTCTGATCACAATGGTCTTCTTAATTTCACAGAGCTTAGAGAGTAATGAATAATTTCAACACTTTTTTTCTTCATATTCAAATTTTTTATAAATGTATTTTATTTTATTTTTCATCTTGTTGGAACAGTTTTTTGCACCCAGAAGATAGCAAAAATCCAGAAATGTTGAAGTGGATGATTAGAGATAGATTTAAGTAAGCTTTATTATTTTTTCCTATATTAATAAATTTGAACTTTTATATTGTTTTTATATTGTTTTATTATGACTTTAATTTATTTGTGATATAGGCGTATAGATGATCAGGAAATTAAAGGGAAATTAAATTTCAATGAATTTGAAGATCATGTATATAGTACATATGAAAATTATATGGATTTTGAAACCAATGGAGTTGATGTACCTAAAGCAAATGATAAATTTGCTGAGCTTGATGTGAATAAGGACCAGTAAGTAATTTAAATTTTAGGGTTAAGGAATTGTTTGGTTTTTAATCTATATACTAATTAAAGTTACTATTATGTCTTATGATTTTGGCAGATTCATAACACCTGAAGAATTGTTACCTATACTTCCTTACCTATATCCTGGAGAGTTGGCTTATGCTAAATATTATACATGTTATCTGATGAATGAGGTGAGTTTTTTTTCTCTGAATTGCGGTCTGCAACTGCAATTACAATTATCATATAAAACTTTTAGAACTCGCATTCATAATTATGAGTTCATTTGTTTGCATTTGTGATAATCAAAATTTGCAGTATAATTGTAACTGAGGAAGTATTTGAGATTGATTGTTTTGTTTGGTGCAGGCTGATGATAATGAAGATAAGCAATTGACATTGGAGGAGATGCTAAATCATGAATTTATTTTCTATAATACAGTTTATGCAGATGGACATGAAGAAAGTGATGATGATCATGATGAGCTATGATTAGGAAATTAGAATAAGTAAATGTAGTCAATTAGTTCTTCCTCATTTTGGTTTTGTAAAAAAAAATAGAGGATATATACAAGCTAATCCAATTTTTTTCTTACATTTTTAGCCTTTCTTTTTTAACTTGATGGATCATGAATTAACACTTTTGGTTGGTCTTTGTGTAAAATGTCTTAGAGATACTTGTCTTGTAAGAAAATATGTTGGCCCAATGTCATGTAATAATCTGACCCAGCAGACACAAAAAAATAAATAGAAGAAAAACACAAAAATTCAAAACTTCTAATTAAACTGAAAGAGATCCTTTGCATCGAATGTTACATAACGTAAGGGTATGATGGTTGTGACAAGGGAGGAAGAAATGAGTTGTTTCAACAATTTTATATGTGATTTGTCTTTGGTGGATTTACTAATGATAGGAAGGAGTTTCAGTTGGTTTCCGTTGGAGAATGCATGCATGAGTAGTTGGATTGTTCTCTTTTATATGATAAATGGTGTGAGAATTGGAATTTTTGTTTGCAGTGGGGTCTAGACAAAGGTCTTTCGAAGCATTGTTTTTGGTTTGAATGGTGCCAAGAGTTTGTCAAAGGTGAATGGAGGTGCTATTGTGTTATGGGAGTATAGGGTGTTGAGATTGTAATTCTTTGTGTCGAAGTAGTATGTTGCTAGACAGAAACAAGGTTATATCGAAACTAGTCTAATGTGTGTTGAGTTGTATTAGATGTCGAAGTGTCAAAATAGATTGCTTAACACAAAATTTTGACTTAGGCCAAAATAGGTATTTTGAGCTTTTATAGTTTTTGGTTTTGCCTTAGGTATAACAAGCAAACCTAAAACTATAAATAGATGGAGTAACTCATATTTTTTATAATCATTTACAATTGCATAATAAAAGTACAAGGTTGTGAGCAGAGAGAAACTCTACAGACAAATAGTCATTTTCCTCTATTTTGTTCAAACCCTAATCTTCTTCTGCCCAATTTTCTTTCTTCTTTCATTAACAATTGTTGCACAAAATCACCTTGCAACCAAGGTTGGTTGATTCACTCAAGTGAAGAGTGAAGAACAAGGAATTTCGATCGGGTTGATTGAATTTTGTTTATCAAGATTGATTAGGAATTACACAAAGTTTTGGGTTTAATTTCAATATCTGGTATCTAGAGTTCTGGCTAAGTGATTCGAGGCAAGCAATAATGATGGAAGTGAATCATCCAAACAAGCATTTTTCGGCGAGTCTTCTGATTCTGAAGAGTTAGAATTATGAGAATTGGTGCAACCAGATGAAGGTGATATTCTGTTATCAAGATCTTTGAAATCTTGTGAAGGAAGGTGTATCACCGCTTGCAGAAGAAGCAACTGATAAAGAAAAAGAGACACATAAAGAATTGAAAAAGAAAGATTATAGAGCTCTCTTTATAATTCATCAATGTGTTGATTCAAATAAATTTGAGAAGTTGAGTGATGTTGAATCAACAAAAGAAGCACGAGAAATTATGGAGAAATCATTTGGAGGCGCAAAAAAGGTGAAAAAGGTGAGGTTACAAACTCACAAGAGAACATATGAATTGCTTCATATGGAAGAAAGTGAAAGCATTAAATGATTTATTCACTAGGGTTACAAAACTGGTGAATCAAATCAAAGTAGGTGGAGAAACGTTGACATCGAGATCAATTGTCGCAAAGATCTTGAGGTCTCTGGCTCCAAAGTTCGACCCCATGGTAGTTTCCATAGAAGAGTCTAAAGATTTGTCGACATTGACAAAGGAAGATCTTCAAGAGACTTGAATCTCATGAACAAAGAATGACTGAAAGAGCTGCGGGGAAGTCGAAGAGTGATGTGGTTTTGCAGGCTCAATCAACAAGACAAAAGAAAGGAAAAGGAAAATGGTTCTACAATAAAGGTAGAGAAGGCCATAACAATTCGACTGGTCAAAATGAGCAAGATGAAAATTCGTTAAACCAGAGAAGACCATTATACCAAAGCAACCAAATAGGTGGTGTTGCATGTAAAGGAAGAGGTGGTGGTCGAAATCTTGACAAAAGTCACATTTAGTGTTTCAATTGTCATAAATATGGTCACTACTCTAGTGATTGTCTAGAAAAACAAAAGAATCAAGAAAGTGATGTAAAGTTTGCAAGACATGAAGAAGAAGAGATGATGTTGATGGTCATAACTTGGGATGAAGAGAGATTCAAGGTCAATGGTACTTGGACTCATGATGCTCATTGTGATCGGTGGAAATAGAACTGACTGTTTTTAGCTGGTTTCGCGAAATGTCGCGGTAAGCAAGAGTCGCCACCGTCTTTTATGTTCTCCAACATGGAAAGGACAAAAGCACAGCAAAATTCCTTCTTTGAGATGTCTCTCGGTTCGGGAGGTAGATTTATAGAAAGGGAAGGTGTTAGCACCCTTTCTATCCGTGGTTATCCACGGGCTCTTAGGTACTTGCTCTTATGTTTTCAAAAATTGTTTGCTTTTCAAGTGTGTGTGGGTTTTGAAAAAGTTTCGTTTGAAAAATTTCTAGGTAACTCTTGTATCTGTCCTCAAGAGTGTATGAAAAATTTGTTTGAAATCTTTTTGAAAGTGTCAGTGTGAAAAGTTGTTTTATTTGTTTTGAAAAGAGCAAGTACCCATGAGATCTACCTACTCTAAGGAATTAGGCTGTATAAGAGTCCTTTAGACAGTGCTATCCCACTATTGAGAAGTAGGTAGCACCATCGTTGGAGTTGTTCGGGTCAATTCGATTATAAGGGACAGTGTGGTCACCGAAGTAATAGTAGGACACCTTAGAAGTAACCCTAATGTCCTAGATCCTTTTTTATCCGAGGCAACCGTTTCGAGGCAACAAGATCTTTAGACAGGAGGGCGACCTCTAAAACACCCTATACTTGACGACCACGTTTGAGGCAACCAGTGAGGCGTACCCTAGGAGTGGCATGTGCTTGTGTGTTGTTTTCATGTTATATTATCTTGTACATGTATCATGGTGATCTACGAGTTGTTTTTAATTTTCATCCATGTCTTGCATGCATATTAACAGTTAAGAGTGCGGAAAATAAATTGCGGAAATATGAATCTACGCTATTACAAGGCGCGGGTCTATACATCGCCAAAAACAAAAACCCATTTGGAAATAAATGCGGAAAATAAAAGAAAACGGTAAAACCTAATTAACTATTACATCCTCGGAAACGGTTACATAAATAATCAAAATAAGAATAATGTGCGAAAAGAAATAGAATCGGGACGTCCTTAGGGTTTCGACCCTTTTTGAGAAAAATATGAGTTTTGGTCCTTTTTTGTAATTAAATTAAAATTAAACCTAAACCTAATTAATTAATTAATTAATTAAATAAATTTTTTTTTTGTGTTTTTTATGTTTTAATGAAAATAGAAAGAAAAGAAATTAAAAGTCAAGAAAAAAACCCTAATTCTAACCTATTTTATTTATTGTGAAAAAAGATTAAAATTAACTAATTAAACTAATTAATTTGTTAATGTTTTATTTACAAAATAAATTAATAATGAAATTAATACATAATAATAAATATTATAAATATTTTAAGTTTCTGAATTAATTATTAAAATAGCTATTTGTTAGTTAAATAATAATAATTAATAATTATAAAAAGGAAATAAAAAGAAAGCAAAAAGAAATAGAAAGAAAACCAGGGGGGTTGATGGACCCAATGGAGGTTTGAAGAAGCAATTTGGCCCATTAAGAATCAAGCCTGCTTTGACTTTCTGGATAGTCTACGCTGGCTTTGACTGGGGAACATGATGGTCAACACTTCATAGCCCTTGGATTGCTGATTATGAACACCTGGCGCTTGGATGGTTGAGGTGTATGGTGGAACCATTAGAAAGCGCTGCATGGGAATTTGTTAGAAAAAATGTTAACAAGCGTTTGGGGGACCTGGGAATCGAACCCAAGTCCCAATAGTCATATGCAAGCACATTTACCACTGAACCACTTGAGCGCGTTTGTAAGTATAATGGATAATGAAATTAAAATATGAAAACAATAATTATGCTGGAACATAAATGAAACGCGCGCCATATTTGAATCATCCAGTCAGGGGCTTACACGTCCTTCGTCTTCTACCTTTTTCCTGTAAAACAAAAGAAATTAGCGGGGGTTTTTAACCCCCACAAAATAACAAAAGGAAAAATAGCGATTAGGATTCTGGGTTATATAAATAGGGCGCGAGGGTTGGGTTGAGTTCGTCTGGCCTTGACGAATTCAACCATATGCGTCTCAAGGTCCAATTTTGCTTATGCTGTAAAGCCCTAATTCGAGAGCTTGGAAACCCTAGAATCCTTCAATGGCCATTTGCGTTTCAGGGCATCTCAATGCAATTAAATTGTACCAAAAGCTTCGTATAGTCCCTCTGAACACAAAACAATCCATAAAATACGTTAATGATGCATGAATCAAAGGATGCGTTTATGAAAAAAAATTCAAACCGTGAAACTGTTATCTCAGGATTCCTTGAGTGTTAAGGCTTGTTTGTGATTGCTATGCGTTCCTGAGTGTCCCAGCAAGGTGTTGGAATCAAGAAAAGGGTTTGAATTGGCCTGGAAGGTTGAATTTAGTTTCAAGCTTTCTTTGAATTTTTTCAATATGGTAAGGGTTCTTTGCAGCAGTTTTGCACGTCCACAGCATTAGGGTTGGATTCAGTATTTATGTTGGAAGGGAATTAGGGTACAAACTAGGTCAAAGATCCATGGAATAAAGTTTTCAATATTTGATTTTCAATCAAATATTTTTCAATCTTTTTGATTGAAAAACCTTTCCAAATTGGGAGATTTTTGTCTCTTTTATGGATGCACGAAATTTCCAGCTTGCCCTGAGTGTATTTGCTTCACAAAAGATTTGAAAAAACATATCTTGGTATTTTCCTACATTTAAATGAATTAAATGAATTAATAATCAATTAAAAATCCAAATAATTAATAAAAATAAGAAAATAACTCAATTTAATCTCAATGGGTC